AGAGGAAAGCCATACGATACAATTTACATTTATATGTTTTTACATTGGGAGGACATCTCTAAGTGCTTGAATACAGTAGTTCATGGAGTGCATCTCACCTCAAACCTTGTTTGTCCTTTGAATGACCATATTGAAAAGCGACACAGAGGTTGTGGCTTCTTATCATAGCTCTTGCATTGTGCGGATTATTGATTCCAGCCTCACTAGGTTTCAGTTAGAGTATCGCTGTAGTTATAAACAAGTTCATAATTGAGAACCAGAAGATGATTTAGCAGCTTTTATTATTTTTGAAATTGAATGTTTCTTAAAAAAGCTAAGTGTAATTAGATTCAAAGAATAATCCCAGTAATGTTTATGTCGATTTGCTCTGGAGGGACGCATCCTGCTTACCCAAACCCGGAGAGTATTAGGCACAAGTTAATAACAATAATAATACTTTCATTTGATGTAGTGCCTCATCACGGCTTTGAGACATCTCAAAGTGCTTCACAGAGTGTTCTATAAAGTGAATTGACTGTATATTTTGCAGATGAAACACAGCAGGCAATGGCACACAGCAGTGTCCCACAAACAGTCATGGATTGAAGTGACCAATTTATTATTATTTTTTTGATGGAATTATTACCCCCGGAAAAGAGATCCACCAATCGAACAACAACCGGGTTCCTACTTACTGCTAGGTAAACAGAGGTGTGTGGAGTAAGGAAACTTGTCCAACATTTCGCCCTGTGGGAATTGAACCCAGGTCTCTCAATTCCACAGGGCGAAATAACCACTGAGCTCCAGGACTCCACTGAGATATAGCACCTGGCGGATCTTAGCATTTACGTCAAGAGTTCTGTTAAAGTCTAACCAGCTAAAACCACACTGCCTAGCCGGCTTCCATAGCTTGTCCACCTGGGACCATCCTACCCGTTGTTCGTGCAAGGTTAACAGGATTTAAGCAGGAAGAATTTCTGCCTCCAGCAATTCCAGCACATCGACGAGCCAAATTAGCTGGTTCATCAGCAGCCGTGCCCAACAACAACAAGTTGCATTTATATAGCGCCTTTCATGTGGAGTAGGGTCTCTGTGTGTTTAATCAGTTACGGAGCTTGAAGCTGAGCTGGGAAGAGGGGCTGGTTTCTACAGGCCCTGTCGGAAGAGGAAGTTCTGAAGACAGGCAAGGAGGAGGGATTGAGGCAGAGAGTTCCATGGTTTGTGGTGTAGTGGCTGAAAGCACGACTGCTGATGGTGGAGCAGAAGGGATGAGGTATGTGCAGAAGCTGAGCTTCAGCTGAGCGAAGTATATCGTCTTGAAGCCGGCTCAGCCCAGGACACAAAAGGAGATCCTGTATACAAATTCTGTTAGATTATAGCAGGGTGGTGTTAATATGTGAGAATCAAATCATGTTTTCCCTGATATGATACAGTCCTATCACTGATTTAGCTGTGTGAGCAGCCAAAGTTTAGGTATAGGGGAGAATGGAAGTGGTATTGGTTTGAACCTATCTACATTTTCATTAAATAATAAAACAAAACTCTTTATAAAACTTGAAGATGTGCACCATCAGTGGAATGCCATCAGTCACGATGTCTCTGACCTCTGGAACTCCCTGCCTCCATCCCTCTGCCTTGCCCATCTATATCTATCTTCAAATCTTACCGTAAGATTTGACTGTGCCTTCAGTCACCTCTGCCTTCTCCCTTTCTTGGTGTCCAACCCCGCCACTGTGCAGTGCTCTGCACTATCTTGTGTGAAGGGCACTTTGTAAATGCAAGTTGTTCTTCTATGCTCACAAAAGTGAAATATAACATAAATATTCTCATATAAAAATGTACAGAAAATTGAAGACATATGAGCTTAAAAGCATACAGGGTAACATTATAAGGTTTGCCTACATAATAACACTTATTTCATTTCTAATTAATTTTAGTTTACAAAGGTCTTATCAATGTTGTTGCATGAAAAGTCAGATGTAAGTTGTAATTAGATTTGATTTGTTTGTTTAGATTTTGTAGAAAAGAAATAATGCTTTCTCCCAGTCAGAAAATGTTTGCCTGAACTTTATCAAGCTTTAAGGAGTCAGTATTAAACTCACCCAATAGGTTAGTTACATTAATTGTCTTATGTTTTAGTTATTACAAAATGTCCAACTTAATAGAAGCTAAATTGGTGGTGTGTTATCCGACAAATCATTTAAAACTGAAGTATTCAGCTTCTGACTGCACTAGTTTCCTGGCTCTTGCCGTATTCCAGCCATTAATCTAGATGCCCTTCACTGCAGCTTCTCCAATGCCAAAATGTCCATTTGCTTTGCATTTGCTGCAAACAAAAATCTACAGGGGTCGTCACAGAATGCGTTCAATGTATAATAATTAGTTATGGAATTTAAGCCATCAAAGGAAAAAAAAATTTTTTTTCATCCCTATCATAATATATAATAAATATACAATACCTACAGTAACATCATAGGAGTGTATACCATTGGAAGACTATCACATTTTATCTGGCCAGTCAGACCCAGTTTAAAATAAGTAACACTACACTGTTCTGTCTCCCTGAATTACATTTTAAGTATATATTCCACTAGAATTTGTTAACCGATCTGCCGCCACCCCAGCACTGGGTAATTCCAAACATTTATAATAATAGTAATAATAATCCTTGCATTTGATATCGCTCTTTTTCACATCTTCTCGACGTCTCAAAGCGCTTCACAGAATATACTGTAAAGTGAATTGACCGTATATTTGTGGGCGAAAACGCGGCAGCCAATTGCGCACAGCAGTGTCCCACAAACAGTCATGGATTGAAAATGACCAATTTATTATTGCTTTGTTTTGGAGGGATTATTATTAGGCTCTGTGTGGAGTAAGGAAACTTGTCCAAGGTTTCGCCCCCTGCCTGGAATTGAACCCAGGTGTCTCGCTTGCAAGGCGAGCGCTCTAACCACTGAGCTACAGGACTCCTCCACTGTGTGTGTAAAATACTTCGATCAAACTGTCTGTTCAACTCACCTTTTTGAGCTTGATTGATCTTTTTATCATATTCAATGTTTTTTGTATATCTAATATAGAACAACAACTTGCACTTATTTAGCGCCCTCCATACAGCGTAGCGTCTCAGAGCGCTTAATATATATAGAAACATAGAAAGAAGAGTAGGCCATTCAGCCCCTTGACCCTGTTCCGCCATTCTGTAAGATCATGGCCGATCTGTACCTCAACTCCCAATTACCCGCCCTTGCCCCATATCCCTTGATACCCTAACCTAGCAAATATCTATCCACTTCAGTCTTGAAAATTTTAATAGATCCAGCATCCACAGCATTTTGGGGGAGAGAGTTCCAGATTTCCACTTCCCTTTGGGTAGATGTATTATATCTATTATTTATTTGGGTATATACATTATACATGATAGTATCTTGAGTACCCAATAAGATCTCCCTTGGGTGTCTTCTGTAGTGTGAATATTCAGAGTTTCTGTAACCTCTCCTTGTATGTCAAATGGCTAATTCCAGCTGTCAGTAAGATGCCCTTTGCTGTAGTCCTGCAATGCCAAGATATCCATACTGTGTTACAGCTGCCACAATTGTTTGCAGTATTATTCTAGGTGTGGTCAGATCAGTGTCATTCTCAATATCATGCTCATTATTACTTCCTATGACTTATGCTCTGTCTTTCCAGTTATTCACCCCAAGGTCCTCTTTACTTTCCTTACTGTCAGGGCACGTTTGGACGGTTTAAGCAAACTATCCTGCATCAATCCCAAGTTGCTCTCCTGCATTGAGTCCTGTGGCCTTAGATCATTTAGTCTGTATCCCTCATTACTTCAGTGCATTTGTTCACATTAAATACTTTGCTACTTGTCATCTCAAATCTTTGTACATTCCACATTCCTCTGTATTTGGTCATTCTTTTCCCTGTTCTTTGGATCTCTTACTCCCTCTACCACCCATTTTGGGATCATCAGTGAACTTAGATAGATAACATGGTTTCTGCCTCCACTTCAAAATCAATTTTGGATAGTGTAACTAACAGCCCAGCACTGATCCCTGATGCACCCTGCTGGGTACTGTCTCTGTTGATGATGATGCTTCATGTATATTGCTTCTGAAAAAATTGAGCCAATCTCCGATCCACTTCGGAAACTCCACCTTCCCATTCAACAAGGTTTTACTAAAATCGCAGAGGTAGGGTAGAGTAAGACCATGGAGGGCTTTGAAGGTGAGGACCAGGATCTTGAACTGTATCCTTTGTGTGATGGGAAGCCAATGGAGTTGGGCAAGGATGGGGGTGATAGGGTCCGGGAGCCTGGTGTGAGAGAGGACACGGGCTGCAGAGTTCTGGATGATCTGTAGCTTGTGGAGGGAGGAGATGGGGAGGCAAACAAGCAGTGAGTAACTGTCAAAGTCACACACTTGGCCGATGCATTGGAGAAACTGTACTCAGCAGAAGGACGAGTCTTTAGAGGAGTGAGGGGGGAAACAGGAATTTGAAAAAATCGTTGTGATCACTTTGGTTTGTCACCACCGTGACCCCAAATAATTGAAAAATCTGTTCTCTGTTGCACATTTGTGGGTTAATGTCAAATTTCAATTTTGGGAATATGCCTAAGTAGTGCTCCATTCCACTGTTTCTACAAATTTAAATTGACAAGGAAAACCTTAATTTTTAGAAAAGCAGGCAGTTACAGGAAAGTGAGTCATGGTTCTGCTTGCTAATGTATATAAACACATCACCATTAAGTTATCTGATTTTCATTCCTTGAAATCTGTGATATGTAAATGTCTTTTGCACATGTATTTTATGACTTGGTAATTTCTTTTTCAATCCAGCAGCTTCATAATATTTGCACCACTGAACATCATTTTATTTTCTGTGTATGCAGCTTATTTTCTGCAGATTGCAGAAGAATTGTTTGACAAATGAGTAATATTATTGAGCCAAGGCTGTATTTGTAATGTGACAAGCCAGTTGCAATTTACTTCATTATGAATTTATTTCATCTCCCACAGCAGAAGCCTCCATCTCCAGTACCTAAACCTCGCAGAACTAAATCTATGTACAGTGTAAGATTTTTTTTGTGTGTAAAATGGTGGGTGTTCGAATGGTGTGAGGGACTCCCGACTCTGGGAGACTGGGAAGCTGAACAATCTGTCTGCTATTACTAATCAACATTCTCTGCTGGATCAGCCTGCTTTGAATTTCTCTGTGGTTCTTTGGTCAGTGTGCATGTTTCTGTTTTGTTAAAGGGGGCTGTGTGACTGAATTGGGCTTAGCTTGTGTCATGATTGCTTAAATTGGCTTGTACTTCCCGAAGATGCTTTTTCAACGGGAGTGCAAAGATTTGCAAAGAAAAGAACTGTTGAGAGAACAAGAGATCCTAACTACCACTTTCTTCTTACAGATTGAAAAAATAATGAGTTCCATTGGTGCAGGGATTGACAGTGATTTCAGAAAGGAATGCAATGCCTCAGGTAATTGGAATATGTAAATATATATGTTCACTGTTTGCTTTATTTGGTTGAATAATTTTCAATTGGTATTATATTCATCTCATAAACTAGTTGCACTTAAAGTTGTTCAAGTAGGTCTTTGTATTTGCACAGAAATGGCTTAGAATTATGATCTCTTGAGATTAAAGAAAACTGCTTTGTTTCATGAACTCCAAACAGGCAACGTTGAAAAATAAACCACCTTACACAGCTTTATCATTGCCTTCTGGTCAGGATAATATTTGTGACATTTTACATAGTCAGAATATACAAACTTGGTTTCATCTACATCTCTGATTCCATAAAACGCTGACTTGGTAAGTTTAGTATAGATTTTTTTTACATTCAAATACTGAATCACTCTTCAGAGACGGAAGTTTCTATTGCAGCCTAGACCAAAATAAAACTGCCTTTTCGTCTCTTTCCTCCTAGTTTTGTGCTAAAAATGATTCAGCTGTTACCTTTTCTGAGAGAAAATAATTAGCATTTATTCTGCTGAATAAGATGGAGCCCCACAGAGCTCCGTAGATGCTGGGTTGAAACCAGGCCTTTAGTACAGCATGAAAAACCAATAGCTCAGCGTACTTCAGGCCAGTGTTTGTACACAAGTCGATACCAAATTAGCAGTATGTTCTCTCTCGGGTACAATTGTCTTCCAACATTTTGTTGGGAGGAAAAGATTGTAAAAACAAAAACATAGGGTGAAAATTTTCCAGAATGGAGGCTGACTTTCAGTTGGAGAGAGATTGGAGAGTACATTTTCACAGCTTTGATGCATTAGATTATGGATACTGAATTTAAAGCATGTACCAATCACAATCCCATTATAAACTTGTGTTTTCGATCCATAAAGCTGGACCTTGCCTATGAGTCTGTGAAACAAAAAAGACTGCAGTCCTACTTCCTGGTCATCAGGTCGCTGTTGATGTCACTTCCAGCTTGCTAAGCATGCAGGATGACCTGGGCCATTGTACAGTATAATAAGACGGTGTACTTTAAACAGTGCTGTGTAGATGACAGAGGTAACTACTTCTGGGCAGCAGCAAGGCTTGCAGGAACAACATCTGCTAGTCTGACGCAATAATTCTGTGAGTGTTTCCATATTCGGGTATGGTGATGGACATTCCTATTTGTTTAGGGCCACGTACAGGATTTAATTCTAAGCCAGTCAGTGGAAATAGGCCAAGGACAGGGACCAGGCATTTGGAAGAATATTTCATGATTTCAGCCTGACTGAATGCATGACTGAGCTCTCGCGCCTTATTTTTAAGCTTATTAGAATTGATGTTGCTGTACTACAGTGAAACAAAGCAGCATTTGACTCAGAAAAAAATGTTGTGTTGTTGTACAATACACCCAAACTGAGTAAACATTTGCTGGGATCCTCCTTAAGATGAGATGAAAAGTACGTGCTGACAGCATACACACAGAACACAGGTAGACATGCGATGGTTAAAGCAAACAGGTATGTCCAATATGCCAATATCCAAATGGAATGATGAAGCAGTTAGGGTGGCTTTTAACTTTGTATTTAACTGAGCCACAGAATGGTAGGAAGTCAAGGTTATTCCTTTTATTTTCTACAAAAGCAGACATTTTCAGCACAGGAGGAGTGCATTAGACCCATTGTTTCTGTACTACTACTACTAGTTTACAGTGGAGCCTTGTTATAACACAGTGGTTGGGATCCATAAAATCCCACCTTGTATATCAGTCCCATTTGCAGCCCTTGGGCTGCATTATGGTTCCGTAGAATAGTCAAGTTGGCCGTCTCTGCTGTATGTAGTGAGACCCAATCGCCAGTTTCACTGCACATGCCCATTGCCAGCCGGCTCCCGTGCTAAAACAAACTACCAACTTCCAGATCATCTATGCTCTGCTGATATCACCTCCTGTTTGATGTGCAAAGCAAGAAGTGTTATCATCGGCAACCCCATGAACAGCAAAGCTAAAATGAACAATTTTGGCATCACCTTGTGCCTCCCCATCACTTCTTGCACAGCAAAATGGGAAGTAACGTCAGAAGCGACCAAATCGTCCAGAAATCAGCCATTTTAGAGCAAGGGTCAGCTGGCACTTGGGAAGCAAGCTGGCCAGCTTCAAGCAAACATGGTGAATGGAATTCACAGTGCAACTGCATTATAACCATGTTATAACTGAATTTGTATTATAAAGCAGTGCTCTACAATGGGCCTGTGCTGTATTATTCTTTATTGGTATTCCCATTCTATTCCCCATATCCCTTAATATTTTTTACTGCTTGGATGCTTATCCAGTTTCCCTGTGAATGCTTTTCTTGATCCAGATTCTATAGGCACTTATAGTAAGTAATTCCATACTCTTAACAACTCTTTGAGCGAAGAAATTCCTTGTAAACTCTCCCCTTCTTTTGCTATCAATGGTGAGGATGCCCCCTTGGTGCTGATTCCATGGATTAAAGAAATAGTTTTTCCCTATTTTGTTGTGTCCCTTTCAAATCAATCCCTTCTCAGTTCCTGATCCTCATGGGAGGGAAAACATTTTAGGCAGCCTCTTGAATGAATCGCTCTGGGACAGTATCCTGCGTAAGGGGCACTATATAAAAGCAAGTCGTCGTTGTCGTTGAATCTGTGCTATAACTTCTCCATCTCTACTCATCCTTCCTGTAATGGGGAGCCGAAAACCAAACAAGTCTACAAAGCGCTCTAATCAATGTTGCATACAATTCCAGTAGAATTTTCCTACTTTTATATTGAATTCCCTGGAATTTAGCTTGTGATATTTGCTGCCTGACTTCTCATGATATATGTATTTACCCAAGATTGCTCTGCTTCTCTCCTCCAGTATCTTACCCTTCAGACTATGCTCCCACTACACTACTTGTTCTTCAGAATAAAATAGTATGAGTCCTGCTAACACAGAGCAAATGTCTGTCAAAAATCTATATTTTGGGCCAAAATATTTGGTATAAAAAAAAATTAACTGCATTGATGTATGTACAACAGAAGGTCCTCTTCACACAATTAAATCCTTGCTGATCACAGAAGGTTTTGTTGAAATCAGGCTAACATTTTCCCCTATAGGCGATATACCAATGGAGTAGTCATCAATGTAACTACGTATTGCTCCTGATGCTAACTATCCCCCAACAATTGATCCTTGTGGTTTTTTTTATCTGATTTTAACTTCATGCTTTTTTTAAAATGTTATTCAGTCCACCCCAGGACCAGGAGCTAAAGATAGACTCCAAATTAATGCAACGAATTATACACATGGAAGCTGTTATAGTTATCGGTTCAATTGATAAAGACTAGAATTCATCACCTTTACTTTGCTTTAATTTGTATCCCTGGATGGCTGCTGCTCCACAATACAGGGCAATTATTTATAAACAGATCATTGGAGTGCGGCAGCTCTGAAGTGATTAAAGGGCACTGGTGGTGGATGGTTGGGCGAACATTGTGATGCACTGGATGCTTTACTATGACGTTTCAATTCTTCGATAGAGGCCCCTTCGCTTCCAGTTAGAGCTCAGACTGAGCAATCCCACCCGTGAATGCTGGAATCTGTTTGTACCAGGGTGCATGCAGTTTGCTGCAGAGTGCAGTGTGTTCAGCTTTTCCTTTCCTCCCCTTGAAGTTGCCAGATTTCTCCTGACAGTCATAAGCTGCTCAGGCTATTGCCTGGCTGCACTTACTCTGATGGTGTATTCTAATCAGAGATGTGCGCTGGGGCCGGGAGGGGGAGGGAGGAGAGAGAGACGGAGGGAGGTGACACTGTGAAGGGACCAAGTGTGAGGAGCTCAGCTGGCAGACAATGAGCACTGCTGCAGCATTCGGGAACTCATCATTAATAAGAGTTTGAGACGCAGGATCAGAGCCGAGGCAGCAAGTCAACCTATTGAGCTGCTGAAAGTGCAGAAGTAGCAGCTCCCAGATGCTGAATACTACACAATTGGTGCAAACAAGTTAACTAATAGGGATGGCAGAGAGCCTAGGATCTGTGGTATCCTCTCTGCTTGACTATCACTGTGGATTACTAAAATCTATGCAAAATCCTGCAGCCCGCTATCAGCGTTTGCCTAATTAAGAGCTAAGCAGGCTTTTGGAGCACCTTCGGATTTGCGTGAAAGTACTGGACTGAGATTCTTCTCGGATTAGCTGCCCTACACAAGTGGCCGGGCAAGGCAAGCATGATGTGGCAGTGCCATATCTCCTCCTCGGAGTGCCGCTGTTACCGTCTCAATGGCTTTTCTTTGCTGAAGCGTTTGCCGATCAATCTCTCGACAGGTTCACGGATACTGGAGCAGAGCGTCGGGCAATGGCTGGAGTCCATTGGGATGCAACAATATGAAAGCAAGCTGGTTCTGAATGGCTTTGATGATGTGTGCTTCCTGGTGAGTACACTCAGCTGTTCTCTGTCTCAGGATTTTAACCCCTTTAGCACTTTGCTCGGTTTAAGCTGGTGTTCTGCATCCCTGCTGAGCATCAAGGCATTGCTGCTGAGAAAGGTTAAGGTTGTTTCAAGATTGAGGTGTAAAAACTGGTTTCAGCTAAATAATTAGACTTTTTTTTGCTAATTATAAAGAGTGTCTGAAACTCGTAAAGAGAATAATGTACTATTGGTAAGGAATGACAGTTACTCTGTGTTTGGTTAGTACATTAACATTCAATTATTTCGTAATATCAACAAAAATCATGGTACCGCAGCAATAGTCAGACTCTGCTTACAAAGATCTGATATTAATGGGATGTTGTGACAAAGCTTACAGTTAAAATGTCATTGGTTTATCCTCTCCAGGAGCACTTTTCTGAGGTGGGGGGGTGCAGGGCTCATGTGAATATGAATGATTACAGGTGCTTTCCTTGGTGACTTGAGGGATGTTCCTGATGTAAAATATGACTGAAAATGGTTTGTGTTTTAAACCTTGATTTTCTCCCCAGTGAGCTGCCGAAGTGTGTGTTTTGATACCACAAAGTAAGATGGCAGCTGAAAGAAAAATGTAGCCAACTCCAGCCACGCACTGGACTCTTTTGTCAAAAAAAACAATAAAACAATCATGCAATTCTGTGTTTATTGCGACCTGGCAACTGATGCTTTACAATTGTGTGGCTGTTAGCAAACAGTTCAGTGCCACACAGTGTGTCTTTAACATATGTGAACTTTACATATATCAATTGCAAGGATTATTATTATTGTTACATGATAAAATGAGCATCAACCTTCACATCACTGCTAGGATCCGAACAGAATAATGGCAGGATGCATTCAAGCGTTCCTTCCAGTGCAGATCAACCTGTTTGCAGGTAGCGCTGTCATATCATGGGTTCAGCCTGTCATTCGGTTCCGTACCTCATCCTCCGTGGGTTTTTGGGACACTTGGAACCATGTCCAGGAAGAGATTCCCTGAGTGGGGATTTCTCTGCTCCTGTCGGCACAGTGAGATGACAAAAGTTCTTTATCTGATGTTGCCATTCATGATTTATGACAGAAACTAGATTAAGAAATTCTGTGATCAAAGAGAAATGAAAATTCACAAATGGTTTTATAAAATTCTTCACCCCATCTAGAAGGAGGTCAACATTTGGGCATTGCAAACCTTTTTAAATGTGTTCAACCTAATATATTTTTATTCATTAATAATAATACCCTTGCATTTGATAAAGTGCCTCATCACGTTGTCCTAAAGTCTCAAAGCGCTTCACAGACTTTACTGTGTATTTATGGGTAACACAGCAGCCAATTTCACACAGCAGTGTCCCACAAACAGCCATGGACTGAATGATTGTTTTATCTGGGGGTTTGCACCAGGTCCTCAGGAAAAACTTCCTTCTCTTTTTGAATAATGTAATAGGATCTTTAACATCCACTGAACAGGCAGACAGGACCTCAGTTAAAGTCTCATGTGAAGGCCGGCACCTTCAACAACGCAGGGCATTCTCGGAAATGAGTTGGATAATTAGCCTAGAAAAGATTATGTGATGTTTAAAGTCACAACTTTGAGGTTTGAACCCACAACCTTCTGATTCGGTGAAAGTTGTGTTTTCACCAATCTCCCAAGACCCTGAGGAGATTGAGCAGTAAACTATTTGCAGCTGCAGTACCTCTCCTGATGGACCTGATTTTAATCCTTGCAGAAAATTGCTTATTTCTTCACTGGTCATCAAACAATCTGGCATTTCTTGCACGCACAAAATAAACAAAAATTAATGGCTCTGAAAATATTTGGCAGGTTTTGTAGGTTCATTTTCTTGTTTTGAAACAAATAGACACAGAAACTTTAGATAATTAAAATAAATGCAGTGCTAATCATTTGAGAAACAGATACATAGATTACATTTTAATATTTTACCATCAGTCTGAAGTGATAGAATGTCAATTCAGCATTTTGGAAATGCATCTATTCTGTCTTAGCTTTCCTGTATTGATGCTGATGGTATGTAATTATGCACTGAGATTAAAATACAGACTTTTACGCACTAACATCAATGTTAAACAGGAGAAACGCTTGAGTATACTAAACTTATATCAGTGATTTGATAATCCTCATTATTTATAAAAGCCTGAGCAACAAAAGTGAATTGCAAGTTGCTCATGAGGGTGATGTAATCTGGGATTCCACTTTCTAATTTATTTATATTTGGTTTAATACGCAAGATTCTGCCTTCCTTCTCCTGCCCCTCCACCACCACCCATTGTTTTTCCCCTCCTGTCCTGAAGACATTGACTGATTTAGGGCATAGTTACTTGGATCCTGAGTAAGGTTGGCATCTGTCTGCTTTTATAACAGAAAGACCAGTTTTAAGGGAATCTGTACAGTGCCCGAGTCAGAAGCATTGATCGGACACCAAAATTCGGTTTATTGCAGACTTCCCAACATTCCAAGCGGGATGTAATAAAAAAACCTTACCTGTGAGCGCAGGAAGCACCAGCCTTGTGAGAACAACACAGACCCATCTCGCGAGGCCGTCACACACAGCCCAGCTACTTCCCTCGGTCACAAGTACGGTTTTTTTTAGTGGTGAGCAGCACCGGCAGGCACCACAATCAGCTCATTGTTTGTGATGGCAGCAAGAAAAGAACAGAAGTGTAGTTTTAAGAAGTGCGGCAGAAGAAAAAATAGGTATGTGTGAGACATTTAAATATCATTAAAGTGTTCAGTTTTTCATTGTCCTAATGGCACCTTAAAATTATGTAGTATGGTAATGGACCTTATTGTCTGGTTTTGAGAAACTGGCAAGTTGGCAATCCTAATGCTGGCAGTCCTCTGTGCTGTTTGCCCCGCTGTTTTGAGCTCTGGTTACCTGACTTCTTCATATTCAATTTGCAGCAGGGAGCATTGGAACCCCCCAAGCAGATCTCCTTTCTCATTCCCTTTTCCGCCCACCCACCACCAATTTGTCATGGTCAGATAACAATACAAAGAAGAAATCAAAACTAGGACCTTTCTGGCTTCTTGTGGATCCAGGAGAGCGAAAAGGCTGATATTCAATGCAGTGAGTGAAAATTAGACAATTTAGAGATTTTCAGCCTTAAAACAAACATCTCTCTCTTTACCTCAGCTTCGCCTCATCTCCACAAGATATTGCCCACCTCCACCACCACCTCTCCCGTAGGGCTGCCAAATCAGTTACCCCCATTCTCACCCGCATTCATTGACAACCCCTCCGACAGCGAATTGAGTTCAAGGTCCTTATTTTCAATCCCTCTAGGACACATCCTGGTGTCTTAATCCCTTCATGGTCTTGCCAGAAAACGGATAGAATGGCTGAAAGCCCATCTGCTTATGGTGGACCAGATGGGACAGGGTCATGAACCAGTGTTCGCTGAGCAATGGGAGCAGCTGGGTCAGGTTGCTACAGGAGGTCCCAGAGTTAGATTGGATTTGAAGGTGAAAACACGATCTTGAACTCAGCATTGTTGAGCGATTTATGACATCGTCACTGATATGAAAGGCACTGTATCATTGTAATTCTTTTTGAATATCAGATGAGACCTTATAAGGGAATGTACGATTTTTAATAGTGCTGAGAAGTGAACCCAAAAAAGCTTTGAGATATGCCAGGGCAGCGGAAGTAGAGGGCACAGATTCAGGTTAGAAAAGGGCAGAAAGTGGAGTCCTGTAACTCAGTGGTTAGAGCACACTCACCTCGCAAGCGAGTGATCTGGGTTTGTTTCTCCGCAGGGTGAAACGTTGGGCAATTTTCCTTATTCCACACGCCTCTGATTACCTAGTAGTAAGTAGGAACTCGGTTGTCAGTCGATTGACAGATCGCTTTTCCAGGAGTAGTAATTTCTTCAAAAAAAAATTTATAAATTGGACACTCAAACCACAACTTCTTGTGGGACGCAGCTGTACACAATTGGCTGCTGCGTTTTGCCCACAAAATATACAGTCATTTCACTTTACAGTATATTCTGTGAAGCTCGTTAAGACATCTCGAAGATGTAATAAGGCACTATATCAAATGCAAGGATTATTATTATTAAGACAGAAACCAGGAAGTGTTTCTTTACCCAGAGGGTAATTAACGATTGGAATAGATTTTCAGTACGTTCATTGAGGCCAGGACATTGGACTAACTGTAGAAGTAGCTGCGTGTGGGGAGGATAGTCCCCTGGGGAGGTAGGGATTCTGGAAGGATGAGATCAGGTGGAGCGGAGAGCTATAATAAGGATTTAATGTGCAATGGTAGTCCATCAGACAATCTGTGGAAAGATGAGTCACTTCACACAGCGAAATGGGAATTGTGGTGAAGCACATGTCTACTCAGAAAAGCCCAGAATAACAGAAGCTTGACATTGAATCCTAATTTTAATATCCTCTTCTAAATTAAGCAAAATACAATCGTTGGGGAGATTATAACAAAGCATTGGCCCCATTTGTTGAGCTCATTCACCAGTTGGTTTATTTACTCTACATATTTTTTTCCATTGAGCTATTTTATTTTGCTGGTTAAATAGTCCATGTGAGTGGCATAAAATTGTATCAACAACACCAACACATGTGGAGAATAACGTGGTAGTACCCACATTGCTTATATACAAGGTTGTATTTTCAGTTTTAAAAGTGAAGCTTTCAGCTGTTATTTAGTAACCAAACTCCGCACCTCAGAAAGGAAATTCCATTACTTTCAATCCAGAATTATTAGGATACCAACATTCAGCAATAAGTATGGTGAGACCTTGATGAAGGTCAGCCATGTTATGGGAAAAAAGTCTGATCATTACAGTTGTTCAAAACCAACCAAAGTTTGGACTCAGCAATACAGTAAATTGGGAACCTAATGCCCTGTGACTGGCCATGACTTTGCAAACTATCTTTCAGACTTCGTAAATTTTGGGAATGGAGTAAATGATGACTGAGCCCTTCCTGGTGGGAGGAGTTCAGTGGAT